TGTCCCAAACATCCTCAACATCCCCAATGTCCCCAGTGTCCCCAGTGTCCCCCAATGTCCCTGATGTCCCCTGAGTGTCCCTAATGTCCCCTTGATGTCCCCTGAGTGTCCCCAAACTGTCCCTGATGGCCCCAATGTCCTCAATCCCCCCAATATCCCCAATGTCCCCAAATGTCCCATTGATGTCCCCAATGTCCCCAACATCCTCAATGTCCCCAATGTCCTCAATCCCCCCAAATATCCCCAATGTCCCCAATGTCCCATTGATGTCCCCAATGTCCCCAACATCCTCAATGTCCCCCCAATGTCCCCAGTGTCCCCAATGTCCTCAATCCCCCCAAATATCCCCGATGTCCCCAATGTCCCATTGATGTCCCCAATGTCCCTGATGTGCCCTGAGTGTCCCCCACTGTCCCCAATGTTGTCAATCCCCCCAAAATGTCCCAATGTCCCCAATGTCCCCCCAGTGTCCCCAAACTGGCCCCGATGGCCCCAATGTCCCATTGATGTCCCCAATGTCCCTGATGTGCCCTGAGTGTCCCCATTATCCCCAATGTCCCCCACTGTCCCCAATGTCCCCAACATCCCCAATGTCTCCCCTATGTCCCCGATGTCCCTGATGTCCCTGATGTCCCCCAATGTCCCCAACATCCCCAATGTCCCCAATGTCCCATTGATGTCCCCAATGTCCCTGATGTGCCGAGTGTCCCCACTGTCCCCATTATCCCCAATGTCTCCCCAATGTCCCCAATGTCCCATTGATGTCCCCGATGTCCCCAACATCCCCAGTGTCCCCGCTGTCCCCCAATGTCCCCAACATCCCCAATGTCCCCTCGATGTCCCCGCTGTCCCCTCGATGTCCCCGCTGTCCCCTGAGTGTCCCCGCTGTCCCCCGTGTCCCCTGTGTCCCCTGCAGATGCGCAGCCACCCCTCCCTGCTGAGCCGCCTCCTCTCCACCAACCTCTTCTACTTCAAGAGCCCCTGGCAGGAGCTGCGCGCCGCGGCCGCCATGTTTGTCGGTGAGGGACACCGCGGTGGCCTTTGTCACCAGGGGTGGCACTGACCATAGGGGTCCCCAAGGGCAGTTTGGGATGGTTTGGGGTGGTTTTAGGGCATTTTGGGGAATTTTGGGGTCCCTGGTGACCCCAAACCCATCCCAAGGTGGATTGGGCCATGTTTGTTGGTGAGGGACACCAGGGACACTGGGGTGGCCTTTGTCACCAGGGGGTGGCATCATTCCTCAATGTCCCCAAGGGCAGTTTGGGATGGTTTTGAGGTGGTTTTGGGGGGATTTTGGGGGTATTTTGGGGTCTCCAGTGACCCCAGACCCATCCCAAGGTGGATAGGGCCATGTTTGTCGGTGAGGGACACCGGGGACACCGCGGTGGCCTTTGTCACCAGGGGTGACATCACTCCTGGAGATCCCAAAGAGGGGGTTTGGGGTGGTTTGAGGTGATTTTGGGGGGATTTTGGGGTCCCTGGTGACCCCAAACCCATCCCAAGGTGGATTTGGCCATGTTCATTGGTGAGGGACACTGGGGACACTGTGGTGGCCTTAGTCACCAACGGTGACATCATTCCTCAATGTCCCCAAGTACAGTTTGGGCTGGTTTGGGGTGGTTTTGAGGGGATTTTGGGGGGATTTTGGAGTCCCTGGTGACCCCAAACCCATCCCAAGGTGAATTTGGCCATGTTTGTCGGTGAGGGACACCAGGGTGGCCTTTGTCACCAGGGGTGGCACTGACCATAGGGGTCCCGGGGGGGGTTGGGGTGGTTTTAGGTCATTGTGGGGTGGTTTTTAAGGAATTTGGGGTCTCTGGTGTCCCCAGCTTGTCCCTGCTCCTGTCACCTCTGGGGTCACGGTGGTGGCTTTTGTCACCAAGGGGTGACATCGCTCCTGAAGGTCCCCAAGGGGATTTTGGGAAGGGTTTTCCGGTTTTTTGGGCTGATTTTGGACAATTTTTGGGGTAATTCTGAAGGTTTTGGGGTCTCTGGTGACCCCAGATTTGTCCCCTGCTCCTGTCACCTCAGGGGTCACGGTGGTGGCTTTTGTCACCAGGGGGTGACATCACTCCTGGGACATTTTTGAGCCGTTTTTGTTCAGTTTTGGGGCTCTTTGGGATGGAATTTTTTGGGATTTGTTTTTGGGGGGGATAATTTGGGGATTTTTTTTTTTTTTTAATTGGGAATTTTCCCATCCCCAATCCCAAAATTCCCCGCAGGGTTCCTGGTGCTGCACATGGACGAGGAGCAAGGGCAGCAGGTGGACCTGGACGAGCTCATCTCTGGTGAGGGAAAATTCCCAAAATTCCCCAAAATTCCCAAAATTCCCAAATCCCCCAAAAAAATCCCAATTTTTACCGGGGGAGGGGGGAAAAAAAATCTACATTTTGGGAGGATCTAAGCATCAATTTTGAGGAAAATCCCACATTTTTAGGGAAAATAAGCCCATTTTTAGGATCCGAACTTCAATTTTTTTAGGGCCAAATCCCTCATTTTTAGGGGAAAAAAAATTTCCCATTTTTAGGATCTAAATATCTCTGGGGCCAAATCTTTCATTTTTAGGGCAAAAATCCATTTTTTAGGGTCTGAACTTTGATTTTTTTTTTTTGGGTTGGGGGAAATCCCACATTTTTAGGGAAAATAATCCCATTTTTAGGAACCAAACTTCAATTTTTTAGGGCCAAATTCCTCATTTTTAGGGAAAAATTCCATTGTTAGGGTCTGAAGTTCGATTTTTGGGGGAAATCCCACAGTTTTAGGGATGATTTCCCATTTTTTAAGGAAGATCCCTTGTTTTTAATAAAAAAAATCCCATTTTTAGGGAAAAAAAAGTCCCATTTTTAGGGCCAAACCCTTAATTTTTTGGGGGAAAAAAACCCAAACGTTTTATGGGGAAAAAAACCCATTTTTAGGGGGAAACCCCCATTTTAAAGAAAAAAAAAATCCCATTTTTGGGCCAAACCCCTGATTTTTGGGGGAAAAATCCCCCATTTTTAGGAAAAAAATTCCCATTTTTAGGGGAAAAATCATTTTTAAGGAAAAAAAAAAATCCCATTTTTGGGCCAAATTCCTAATTTTTAGGGGGAAAATGTCCCATTTTTAGGGCCAAATTTCCTCTTCTTTTAGGGAAAAAAAATTTCCCATTTTAAAGGAAAAAAGTAAACCCATTTTAGGGGAAAAAAAATCCCATTTTAAGGGAAAATCCTTCATTTTTAGGGGTAAAAATCCCAATTTTTAGGGTAAAAAAATCCCATTTTTAGGGGTAAAAATC